CAGTGCAGCAGATCTCTCTTTCCCCGCTGCTCCCCTCCGCAGTGTGCTTCATCCATCTGCTTGTTCTGCTTCCCCCTCTGTCTCTGGTGAATCCAATCACCGCCCCTGTACCTCTGGCCTATACCCCAGTTCTGTATGCATAAATAAATCTTTAAAAAAATAGAAAATTAGAAACTCTGAGGGATGTGGAACCTGACTTTCTCTTTCTGGTACTATTGATTTTGGGTACTGAGGCTGATGACAAAGCAATATTATGCTAATGATTAACTCTTAGAGTAGAAAATTTAGGACAGACACTTTTACAAGGTCAAAAACCAGAGAGGAAGGGGGCAGAAATGCTTATCAAAGGAAAATATCCAACCTGACTTCAAAGCAGTAAATTCCATAAAGTAATTCCATCAAAGAACAGTAATATATAAAGACACAAAATCCAACCCATTAAGAGTGCCTGTTTATATTAATGCAAACATCTTTTAATCAGTTTGCCCTTCCAAAAGACAGCTCTTTTAAGATAGCTGCCCCCCTGTGTCTATGAAGGTGTCTTTGTTTCTTAATAAATTTACCAGACCCTCCTTGTTGGCGAAATGGGTTAAAGCACAGCACTATGAAGCTACCGCAGCCACTTGCAGCATGAGTTGGATGAGGGGTGGGGGTGGGGGGTTAACCCAACTTGGCACAGCAGACCTCTCCTGACCCACCTGCTGCTTCCCTCAGAAGTGTGTTTCAGTCAATCTGCCTGTTCTGCTCCCCACTCTCTCTGGTGAGTCCTCTCACCACCCCAGTAACTCTGGCCTGTACTCCAGTTCTTGTAAGCATAAATATATATTTTTTTTAAATAGAAACAGTCACTTTGGATTAGTAGATCTCTAAAATCATGACTCTCATGACTCTCAACTTGAATGGAGGGAGGCTTTATGCAAAAAATTTAAAACTTGTATTTTTATTTATTACAAAAATGATGCATGGAAATTTTAGAAACTACAGATAACAACTACAGATATCAACTCCAGAGGCCAGGAATTTTATTTGCTTTGTTTGCTGCGGTGACTCCAGCATCTCAAAAAGTACCTACATAACTGGCATGTGAAATAGTGAGCAAACAAATAAAAAACAAAAACAAAACATAATCCCACAGCCTGCTAATAACCACTGACAGAGTAAGACTCTAAACAGTCTGTGTGAGTTCATCCATGGCAATTTAAATTTTTTAAAATCAGAGAGTTAGTACTGTAACTGGGTAGTCCCTAGGAAAAGGGGGAGTTTCAGGTTCCCTGCCCACCCAGAAGGAGGGTGGAGCTGAGCAGAGAACAGGAAAGGAGAAGGAATCTGAGGAGGGAAGCAGGATGGAGAGCCAGGAGACCTGAGAAAGCCACATGGAGCAAAGGGAGACAAGTGAAGAAATCATGTTTATTTCTTGTTCCAGGATTGGCTGAAAGAGATGTGGGTGAGAGACCCGTAGGGAGGTTGACTATGGCAGTGTTTATATTGATTTTGATTTTGTTCTTTTCCTCCCAGACTTGTCTGGCCATTTCTGACCCTTTTCTATAGGTCCTGGCCAGAAGGTGCTTTAGTCTTGTGGCAGGCTTTCAGGCCTTGCTTTGGGCCAATCCCTTTTGGGTGGACTTTTGCCCATGAGGGGATGGGTAAACTTCAGGTGTTTGATTTAGAAATTATACTCTTTGTCTTCCACATTGTATACTCACTGTATTAAATTAGTTCCTTTTCATTAAAGTCTTATATGTTTTGTCTTGATGCGGGGGATGGCAGAACCTATTTAGAGCAGGCAGGTTTGGGGGTTCAGCGGTGCTCTCTCCCTGTCCTGTAACAGTACTTACAAAACTTCTGACTTCCCCAAGGGGCAGCTCTCAACAGTATCCTTGGCACAAAAATCACTTTTGTGTCATTACTCTTCTGCTCAAAACATTTGTACAGTTCACTGTGCTTTCAGCAGCTACATCTTTTTCTTAACCACCTACCCATTTGTTTCCCATCTCTTATTTCTATGAGAAATGCTCTGTTCCAGTCAAATTCCATTATACAAGATACCCCACTAATGCCTTTACCCCTGACCCTATCCTATCAAAAATTGGTCTAATTCTTCAAGTTTATATACATACTATCTCCTATAAAAATCCCATGGTGCCCATGCAGAGATAATAATTCCAGCTCTCTTTTTCAACTAGTAATTTGTGATAACCTAATGCAATTAATACAAACTACCTCACTTTGAGACTGACTGGCTACATTTTGCTCCCCTACTACAACTGAGTGACAAGATCTTTGTCTTACAAGTGTTTGTACCTACCCTATCTCTCAGCCTCAATCCAAATACTGAGCACTAAGGATACAAGAAATGAAAACATGTACAAAACTCACTGCATATAAGTGTATTAGTGCAACTGTGGATAGTACTGATAACTGAAATTCTAGGATAAATCTAGATTCATCTTATCAATGGCTTGTAAGTTTTATGATATTCAACATATACCTACACCCTTCCTGTAATTCCAAAAGTCACTGTGATGACAGCCTAAGCCATAAAAACGTTAAGTAGTTGATTTCCTCAATTTATCATTGCTCACAGAAAAATAGAAGTTGTTCCAGTATCATAGATAAGCAAGGTCAGGCACTCTTAAAGACCACAGTAAAGGCTGACTGTGCTGAGCTGTCTTTGACTTGCTCTGAGAAGGTATTTATCCAAGGAATCCACAGTCCCAAGAGGAACTGAAAGACAGGACAACCACCCCTTCTTGATTAAATACTGGAGCAACCACATCTTAAAACAACTAGCAACAACAAATGTTGATGAGGATGTGGAGAAAAAGGAACTCTCCTACACTGTTGGTGGGAATGTAAACTGGTACAACCACTATGGAAAACTGTTACAAGGTACCTCAAACTTCTAAACATGGAGATCCCCTACAACCCTGCAATCCCACTCCTACATATCTACCCAAAAGACACAAAGACACTGATTCAAAAAGATAACCCTGCACCCCCATGTTTATTGCTGCTTTATTTACAATTGGAAAGACATGGAAACGACCCAAATGTGGATGACTGGATTAAAAAGATGTGGTACATATACACAATGGAATATTACTCAGCAACCAAAAAAAAATAAACACATGCCTTTTGCAGCAACATGGATGGAGCTGGAAAAGATCATGCTTAGTGAAATAAGCTAGAAAGAAAAGGAAAAATACTGGATGGTTTCTCTCATAGCAGGAGTATAACAGATCAGGTGAGAAAATAATGATAATGATGAACAGCTATATACCAGAGACATTTTGTGGGGGTGGATTGGGGAATGGGATCAAAAACAGTGGGGGAGGGAAATGCACTCAACTATGATGATGACACATGGGTAATTCGGTGATGGGAAGCCCAAGGGGGTTGCAAACTGAGATGGGAAAAGTACACAACACGATGTAAAAATAAACTATTATATTATAAAAAATAAATAAATAAATACTGGTACAACCAGAGACAGCCCTATGCTGCCCACCTGTAACTGTGTAGATGACTATTTTTCTTTTTCCCTTTCCTTAATAAACCTGTTCTTTTTCCTTAATAAACCTGTTCTTTATGTATATGCAATAAGATGCAATCAGACAATGACTACAGATGCCACAAGCTGATTATGACATAAATAGGGAAGGAGGAAAATAGAAAAATAGAGTACAAAGACGAGCATTTAGCAAGCGCTCTCACCTATTGTCCAGAAGGGCACCAATTGTCCATTCTGGCTTCCGCAGAGACAGATTTCCAATAAAATCTAACTAAGCGGTCTTGATGTGGGCTGATAATCAACAGGGAGTTTCATTTCCCCACTGCCAATTCCATTCTGAACTTGAAAACTGAGCGTTGGACAATGTAGTCAGCCCTTTCACAGCTGTCAATTTTGAGTTTCATTCATTTCACCCAAGATTATTGAGCAAGGCATTTTGCGAAGGTGATGAGAGGTGCATAAATCCAGGGAACCCATCCCTGCCCTAAAGGCGTTCTATAATTTAAGGTCTCCAGAGGAATTTAGTGAACTGATTCCCCAATCTCAAATTACTCTTATACAACATTTTAATATCAACAATAAATTGATATTACAAAACCTCAACAACAAGACCTCACCCAAGTCTTGTAACAGAAAAGACCACACCAGTAACTCGGAAACAAGTTTACTTTTTTAACTCTTTTTTTAAGTGAAGAAGTTTCTCAATCGCAGAATTTACAGCCCTCTTTTGGGGGGGAGGTATGTGGAGTGGGTAAGACCAACACAAAAGGAAAACGTCTGAGAATTCACTTAATAGTAAGACCTACAACAAGGCAACCTGTAGTCCATGCTTCTTAACCTTTTCTGCAATTCAGAATTGCCCGTGGAGCCTCTAAAATGCACATAGCTGAGGCTGCACCAGGGCAGCAGAATTTTTTCAACTCCTCAGGTGATTCAAGTGTTCAACCAAAGGCTAAGAACCACTATTGTAAATCAGACTGCCCTTGAAATTAAAGGGAGAGAAGCAGGATCCGCGTTCCTCCAGGACATTTTACCCGAGCCCCTCTTTTCTCTCCTCGCCATATACACACAAACCAGGTGTAATTTTCGCGAAGCAGTTTTAGGTTTCCATGCACCAGGTGAAAATCAAGCATGGAATACAATACTCTTCCACCTAGAAGAATGAGCATGCAGGAAAGTCAGCTTACATTTGACTACCAATGTCTTTAGTTAAAGCCACCTGGGCTGGGACAGAAGGTTTTAGTTTGGGGGTGCCACAAGGAAGCCCTTTACATTTCTTTCGTAGAAACCTGCAGGCTGCCGATCTCGACCTCATAGGAGGGAGGGAACGCGGAAAGTACAGGAGAGGTCGCCCCCCAAGCCCGGAGGGGCGAGTCGCCGTAGAAAAGAGGCGACTCTCAGTTGCGGGAAGAGGCGAGCAGAAAGCCGAACGGCGCGAGATGCGCGGAGAGGGTCCGGTTACTCACGCAAGTGCCGCCCAGCTTGTGGCTCTCCACCACCGCGGCCCTGGCGCCCAACTCGGCCGCTCGCCGCGCGCTGGCCAGTCCACCCGAGCCGCCCCCGATCACCAGGTAGTCGTAGGAGGCCACGGCGTCGGCGGCGGGCGGCGGGCACCGCGGCTGATGTTCCTGCCTGCACTCCATGGCGCTGGAGAGGGCGCGGGCAAGCCGAGGTTGCGGGAAACGGCAGAAGCTGCTCGCGGCCCTCAGCCAGCTGAGCCCCGCGTTCGCTCTCAGGGCCCGGGGCAGCTGGGCCATGCACGCGGAAGTGAGCGCCGAGGGGGTGGGGGAGGCGCCCCAAGGCGGCTCCCGGGGGAAGAAGCGGGCGCGCGCCCCGGGCAAGCGCAGCCTCACGGTGACTAAGCACCGGGCCAGAGCGCGCGGGCTGGGGGCCGCCAGCTCCGGGAGAGCCCTTCGGCCTTGGTGCCACCGAAGCCGTGATGGGCGGGACCCGAACGGGCGAGCGGAGAGGGGTGAGGCTGCTTCTCCGCCTCCAGAGAGCGAGGCAGCGGGCCCTGCCCTAAGTGAAGGAGGGTTTGGGAACCTCCGCCGGGGTTCCCCCCCAGCACCTGGGCCCCCACACCCCAGGGCCTTCCGCCCGATGTATGTTTCCGAAGGCCAAGTAGAACTGGGAATGATAAACACCGTCTTTTGTCTCATCCGATCAGTCCTGAAAAGCACTACATCAATGTTATTTCCTGAATCTGATCACCGCAATGTGGTGATGGGAGACAATTTCCTTGTTTTAAGAGACACATTCTAAAGTTTTTTAGAAGTAAAGGGCATGTGTCAGAAAAACTTGAATTCAGATCCCACTACAGGCACTGTCATAGTCAAGTCTGTCAGTTTGTCTCCTGAGCAATGGGGAGGCCAACAAAAAGGAAATAAAACATGCAAAAGAGAATAACAGTGGAGGAAATGAGCTAGTGGGAACTGGAATTTGTAAGTAGAGCAATACAGATTGACTGTGCCATAGACAGCTGGAGGGTAGGTAATAGTGGGCAGTCTTGGAAAGCTTTGCATGTAATTTGGGCTTTATATGGTAAAGAATCACTTCCTATATGTCAGAAGTGTCTTTCCTTGGACATACATGAAATATTTGGGTTGGTGGAACTGACAGAATAAGAGACAAAGGAATAGCAATATTTAGAAGGGATAAGAGCTGCTGATTGGAGAGAAATAAAGAAGTAAAACTGACAGGTTAGGGTAATGTACAAGGGTCAAAGATGACAAGACTTGAACCTGAAATAGAGGAGAAAACGATGCCATAAAACAAACCTAAAAGAATGAAAGGAGGTAGAAGTCTAAGTCGCTACTAGTTTTAAGGGATCAAAGAATTTTTTATCACACAATTACAAAATCCTATGCCAGATGTTGACACCAAAGTTATATATTATTTACTATTAATATATTTTATTACTTATTTTCATATAAGCATTTTTACTTTTTGATTTCTGACTTAGATGGCAAAGGAACAAGTAGTCACATCCTAAAAAACTGAAGAGTTCAGAAGAAAGTCTTTCTCTTCTTCAAGCAAAAAAAAAGTCAGCTAAAGTTAAAGTTTAGTTAATAAAAAAAAGTTTAGTTAATATAGTTAATAAGTGCTAGTTTCAATATGATACAAATAGAGCTGAAATAGAAATCAATTACATGTAGCAGTCTTAGGACATTATTATGAACTAGCTGGACTTGTGAGAAACTGCAGAGCCCCAGGCTATTCTTTTATTTTACTTATTCTTTTAATACTTTCACATTAAAATTTGTTATTTAAAATACTGGATAAACTTAGGTGGTTTCCACAAAAACACTGGAGTATTTGTCAAAAATAATAGTATTGCTCTAACCTTTATGCTTAAGAGCTATATGAGCTTTATATGTTATCCCTTCCCCAATCTACAAAATCAATTCTATTATTGTGTCTGTTTTGTTTTTTTTTTTAAGATTTATTTGTGCATACAGAATTGGAGTACAGGCCAGAGGCTCAAGGGTGGTGAGAGGCTTCACCAGAGACAGAGTGGGGAGCAGAACAGGCAGATCCATGAAGTACACTGCTGAGGGAAGCAGCGGGAGGGTCAGGAGAGGTCTGCCACAGCCATCTGGTCACCTCTGGGGCAGGCGGGAATCAAACCCATGCGGAATAGGCTTTTAGATTCTCAGTGCTGTGCTTTCACCTGCTGCGCCACCGGGGAGGGCCTATCGTATCTGTTTTATAGATGAAAGACTGAGGTCCAGAGAGGTAAATAAGTTGTACAGATCATGCATTTGGTGAATGGCAGAAAAAGGGTTCAAATCTTGGAAGCCTAGTTCTGAAGGCTACCTTCTTAAAGGTTACTGGAAAGAAATCATGATAGATAATGTAATGTAGTAAAAAAAAGAAGAGATGCAAGACACTTTCTAGATTTATTTATTTATGTGTAGAAAAACTGAGATGTAGGCCATGGGTGGGGGCATAGAGAATTCACTACAAAGTGGGGAGTAGAAGAAGAGGATGTTATTGAAATACAGTGCTAAGGGGAACAGGAGGAAATACAGTGTTAAGGGGAGCAGCAGTGAAACAGGAGAGGTCTGCTGTGCCATGTGAACCAGCTCTCAGGCCAGGGATCAAACTCCTGGTTGCTAATACCTTGATAGTGCTGAGACTTATTCCCTTGCAACACCAGGGAGGCCTCCAAGATTCTTTTAAAATGATAGTCTTTGTAAGAGAAAGTATTGAGTATCACTTTTTATTTCTTGCATTTAAATGTAGTCTTCTTTTCCTCTGCATTTTTTCTACAGTATATTTTGTAGGAAATGAATTTATGACTCACACATGACTAATTCACATTACAGCCTCTGTTATTTAATGCTATAAGTCTCTATGCATTATGTTAAAAGAAAGGTGGTAATGGTACTTCTTTCTATAAATAACCAGAGAAGCCTAGGCAAAAAATCAACCTTTTTTTTTTTAAGATTCATTTATTTATGCATACACAAAACTGGGGTACAGGTCAGAGGTGCAGGAGCAGTGAGAGGGTTCACCAGAGTCAGAGCAGGGAGCAGAACAGGCAGACCAATGAAGTACATTGCTGAGGGGAGTTGTGGGTGGGTCAGTAGAGTTCTGCCATGCCACTCCATGTGGGTCACCTCCCTGACCTGTGATCAAACTCATGTGGAAGTGGCTGCAGCAAGCTTCACAGTGCTGGGTTTTAACCCATTGCGCCACCAGCGAGGGCCCAGAAATCAAGCTTTCTGAGAGCTATAGCTATCCAAGTAGAGTGGAAGAGCTCCACATTATTTCCTTCTCTTTATCCTCAGTAAAAATGTCATGAACTATCTTGTGCCAACCTCAACCTATAAGGTGTGGCTAAGCAGTAAATATAGCTGCAAAAGGGACTATGGTCAAAACAGGGACACAGGTTTGGATTCATTCTCTTTGCCTTTCAGGTACAGTCTTACCCTATACCTGCACAGGGCTCCTATTCATGTTGTTACGATGAGGTGCTTTAAAAAAAAAAAAAGATTTATTTATGCATACAAGAGCTGGGGTACAAGCTAGAGGTGCAGGGGGTGAGAGGATTCATCAGAGGCTGAATAGGGAGCAGAACAGGGGATCTACTGAAATTCACTGCTGAGGGGAGCAGCGGGCGAAAGAGTGGCTGCAGATAGCTTCATGGTGCTGTGGCTTAACCCACTGCGCCACCAGGGAAGCCCAGGACCAGGTTCTATGAACTCAGTATAGAGGGTTGAAAACAGTATATTATTTAGTTGTTAGCTAGGCTCTGGCCCAGCCTTGGTGGTGATTAGATAGGGGTTTGGCTTAACAAAGTCACAGGATGCCTCTTCTGTAAGGGACACAATCCAATCTAGCTTTCCCAGCTGTTCAGCTTCCAGCTGTTCTCATTTGGGGGCCATGGGTTCATGCCAGCAACCACCACCTCATACAGATTGCATGCCAGCAATTGCCAAGACTGCCCATGGTCCTTTAGCTCCTTACAATAGGGGAGCAAAGTGTTTTGTTTTTTGACTCAGGATACTTTATTGCTATCTGGTAGTATAACATCTATATCTGCCAGCATCCTACTACTGTTCCAGCCTTCTACCCAAGTCTTATTCCTGTTTGCTCGGTGCTGCACACTACATTCTGCACAACTCTACATTCCCTTCCCCAGTATAGACCCTGGGTTCTAAAGTCCCTGGTGGGAGGGTGAGCCCTTTTGTCAACAACAGCAGGAGTCTAAACAGCAGATGCTGTTTTCTCTTTTGGATTATGCTGCCCTGGTATTACTCTAGACTGTTAAATTAATTTTTCATACCTCTTTCCTCTTGATGCACACAGTAGTTACCTCTTCATCTTTTGAGAGTCATGTTCTTTGTTCAATGCAATTTGGTTGGAAATATGTGGAGGAGAGGTGCCCAGAGCTCAGAGTCTTTATTTGCCTGCTATCCTGCCATAATTTGTGAATTTTTTTTTTAAAGCTTTGTTAGAGCTGGTATCTAAAGTGACTAACTGAATTGAATATTTGAGATAGAAACTATAGGACTAACAAACCCTAAATTATTTACTCTCTCATTCTTTATAGAAAATGTTTGTTGACTTTTCTCCTAGGTGATCAGCAAGGATCCTGGCTGATTGGAGCATGAAGTCTCCTTTCCTATGAGAGTTGGATGGTTCTTTTATCACATAGTTCCCTGATCAGGGTTTGAAGGTGTTGTGAAATTGCTCCTCTGTGTAACTGAGTACCCTGATTATATTTCTGCAGCTTCTTACTCATTTCAAACTCTATACTATAATTTCTAGCAACCTTAGTCTCACTAAACTCTGAATTCTGTCTCAACTCAATCAACCTCTGTGCTTTGAGGTCTCCTCTGTTACTGTGACTTGTTATATACATCTATATAAAAAGTAGTAGTGTTGGGGCCTCCCTGATGGTGTAGAGGTTAAGGTCTCAGCACTGTCAAATCTTAGCACTGTCAAGCAGCTTGAGCAGCCACTGCAGCATGAGTTCAATCCTTGGCCAGGGAGCTAACCCACATGATGCAGCAGATATCTCTTGTCTTTCCCCTTTCTCCTATCAGCAGTGCATTTCAGTAGA